ACCACAGCAACAATTGTGAGTCTGTGTTTTTCATATAGTTTCTATCTTCACTACCCTCTACTTGAATTGCAGGCAAACCTTCGTCAGATGAAAGGACAGAAAGAGTCATCAATGTCGTTCTTGAAACTGTCAAAGAACTGATGAAGTGTGTCTGTGTTTGTGTGTGTGAGGCTCTGTTGTATGTGGGACAGTCTCTGTCGTTGTTGAAGAGGTGCCTCCAGTGCTGGGCATGGCTGGTGTACAGGAAGTGCAGCAAGAAGACAGTGGCAGAGGGTGTGGGCTACCTAATGTCTCTGTTGTTCTCTAACAGAAAGAGGCCTGGTCTGAGTGAGGTGACAATGATAGTGTTTGTGAATCAGATGCTGCTCATGATGGCTGGAGATGTGGAACGAAACCCTGGCCCTGGTAAGTACCACACATCCAAGTCTTCAACTCTCTTAGAGCTATAATCCATTTTTCCACAGACACTCTAGCTCCAGAGGACCTTGCAACTCTTGTGAACGAACTGTATGAAGTGAGGGCCAAGTGGTATGATCTCGGAGTTCAACTGAGAATGACAACACCTGATCTTGATGCTATCCAGACTCAGTACCAGAACAATCCCGACAACCCCGGTGCTTGCTTACGACAAATGTTATCAGACTGGCTCACCAAAGAAGTTCCCTCTCCTCCCACCTGGCAGACAGTGGTGGATGCTCTGAAATCTCCATACATTTCAAGACCTCATGTGGCTCAGGATATTTACACGAAATACTGCAGTCAGGATATCGGTATATATGCATTTTATGCACTTTTCTAAACTCTTAGTAATTTGTTCTTTCTTTTGTAGGATCACCTACCTTTGTCACTGATGAAAATACAATTAAAAACAGAAATTAAACAGCTTCAAGAACTATTTATTGAATTGAAAGATGATGTATTTGAGTCAGTAAAGAACAAGCCAGTGGACACATTCAAAGTTAGGCTAATTTCCATGGACGTTGACGGCGTAGAATATCATGTCCCATTCCTCAAAGAAATCGCTCACAAGCATGAATCAGTTGTCAACATATGGATGGACCTCAGCCCTTACTTAAACTTTTTGAACTACGAAATTCTGCAGCATATTCTTCAGAAATTCAAAGATCCTGCACTTCAAATAAGAATGGACACGTACATCGAAAAGATCAAGAAGTTTTTTAAGACCACACGTCTCCGTGACTTCCTCAAGTGCTGGCCGGTGCGGGGGAAAACTCCTCCTGCAGGTGACCTGCGCAAGTTTCTCACTACAAAGACCACCAAAGACTGGAACACTTGTACACTTGAAGACCTGGACAACGTGAGACAGAATCTCGCTAAGAGGCTCCTCCTTCCCTCATTTGCCCTGGACCCAGCAGATGCCAGTGAAGGCTGTGTGACCATGACATACTACATCCCTGCCTCTATTGTTCCTCAACTGCAGACTGATATAAAGAACACACTACTGAAGGATTTTGCAGATATGGAGATAGAGACCATTACAGTGGATGGTGTTGTCTGCTATGAGGCTCCACTACTGCAGTACACATCTCTCTTGAAGCAGATGTACACATCCTGGAGCCCCCTCCAGCCTCTCTCTGACTCCAAACCCAAACCCCTGCTCCCATTCCGTCTGGCCAGGATTGAGAAACAGAGCCTCTCCCCATCAGACATGGACAGGTTCACTAGAGAGAGCCTGCGAGGAGACATGGACGACGTGGTCTACAAGAAGACGGCCATGGAGTTGAGTCAGCTGGGAGACGGCTCTCGGCCACAGGTGGTCCTGATAGAAGGGGCTCCGGGAGTCGGCAAGACCACGTTTGCCTGGCACCAGTGTCGGCAGTGGGCAGAGGGCAAGCTGCTTCAGGCCTACTCCATTGTGCTACTGCTGCCCCTCAGAGACGGCAACATCAGACAAATCAGCTCCCTCCCCGGCCTCTTCCGACACAGCAGAGGACAAGTGAGAGAGGAAGTGAGCAGAAGAGTTGCAGAGAGTGGTGGTGCAGGATGTCTGATTTGGCTGGAGGCCTGGGACGAGTTGCCTGGTGATCTAAGGTCAAACTCTCTCTTTATTGAACTGATCCGAGGCATCCAGCTACCTGCTGCCACCATCTTCATCACAAGCCGACCCTGGGCCACTGGAGGTCTGCTGGGGAGAGTGAGGGACAGACTATCACAGCACACGGAGCTACTGACACTGACAAAGGAGGAAGTTGAGAATATAATCATACCAATGATTGTTGCCATCCAATCTCAGACAAGTTTTGATTCCGGATTCGACTTTTCAGAGTTCATTGAGTCCAATCCCATGATACGTGCAGCCATGTACACCCCAGTCAGTGCTGCCATTGTAGAACAAGTGTTCAAGTCTGCCCCACACAATCCTCCGACCACCGTCACTGGACTCTACTCTGCCTTCGTCCTCATGAGACTGGAACAACACCTCTCAGACCACCTGGAGTACTGCCACATGAACATCAAAGTGAAGACACTGGCCGATCTACCAGAGAGAGTGCTTGGGGACTTACAGCGACTGTGTGGCCTGGCTTACGAAGCAATGTCCCAGCAGATGATAGTATTCTCCAGTCTTCCTGAAGGAGTGTCCACCCTGGGTCTCCTGCAGACTGTCCCTCAGGTTTACGACGAGGGAGAAGACAGAGTCTCCTACAATTTCCTGCACTACACAGTCCAGGAGTACCTTGCAGCTCTTCACCTCTCACATCTACAGCCTCAGCAACTGATGACTATCATTGACACAAAGTGTCTGAGAATGGTGGAGACTGAATATGGCAGGTCCTATTATGAGGCAACACAATATAAAACGACATTCCAATTCCTGGCAGGGATCACTAAGCTAGAGCCATTTCCAGTAGACTTTCTCTCAGACCTGCTGAGGAAAGATGAGCCACCATGTACAGGTGGCTGTATGAGTCCCAGAACCAGTCTCTCCTTACAAGTGTCCTGGGCTCTGGTTGAGACATGACTGAGCCTGCCTACTCTGCAACTGCCACAGACTACTTTGCAGCAGGATACTGTCTAGCTCACTCCAACTGTACATGGAACATTTCCTCCACTCTGTTGATGATGTGGCAATGGAGTTTCTCAGTAAAGGCTGCAATCATCAACTGCCTGAGACTGGCATCTCCAGTCAATTGGTTTCAGCTAGATTCATTAGTGGGTCCATCACAGCTGAAGGTGTAGGACATTTTCTGACTATTCCTAACTCATTACTACAACATGTCAAACACCTGGATCTCTCCTGGAACAAGCTGGACAGAAGAGGGTGTGAGTTACTAGCTGAAGGTGTTCAGAGGATGCCATGTCTTGAGAAACTGGACCTGAGCCTAAACCCAGGTATTGGATGTGGAGGTGCTGTCCAGCTGGTGTCATCTCTACACAGCAGCAAACTGAGAAAACTGGATATGACCGGAACTGGTATCAGTGATCCTGACTTCCAATGTCTATCAAGCTATATTCACTCCACCACAAGTCTGGAGGAGCTGTGGATTGGAGAGAATGAGATATCAGTTGAGAGTATTGACTCATTATGTAAAGCTCTGAGTGCCAACAGCTCAATGAGGAGACTGTACATGAGCGACTGTCACTTGACTACATCTCACTGTGTGTGTCTGGGACAGCTACTGAGACACCCAATACACTGTCAGATAGAGAAGTTGGACCTCAGAGCTGTAGTCTGACTAGTGATGGAGTAGGAGAAGTAGTGAGTGGACTGAGTGACAACCATACACTGAGAGAGTTGGACTTGAGTTAACCAGATTGGATCAGAAGGTGCTGTTGCCGTGGCAACAATGCTAAAGACAAACAGTTCACTAGAGAGACTGGATCTTGCCTGGTGTGGTATTGGCAGCAGTGGAGGTGTGGAGTTAGGTGCAGCATTAGAGAGTAACAACACTCTAAAGTATTTGAGATTGTCGGGGAATGCACTAGGAGATGATGGAGTGAGAGGATTGTATGTAGGTCTAGAGAATAACACATCACTAACGGAGTTGTGGTTGGCTTGTGATATGGAACAAGTAAGCGAAGACGTTTTGGCAAGAAAGAGACCGGATTTGAAGCTGCATAACAAGGTACGTTGTATATTATCCAGCTGTGCAGGTAGCTACAAGCAACAATAACTGACTCTAAAAGTAAATGGTGTGTCATTTACAATGCAGATCCCTGAAACATGGCCACTATATTCTCCTGTGGGTGAGTGTGTCACGTACAGTTTAATGACACTGCTGATGTTGTGTGCTAGTCCTATGAACTTGTTAACCCTCAGTGCACATGCGCAGCAAGGGTTACAGTACTTGGTTCGTAAGTGTGTCTATCTGTCTGTCTGTCTGTTACCACGTTTTCTGCCACCACACGCAAGAAATCGACCAAAAAGCGAAACCAACAGGTTCAGCGCTACGCTGGTTTGATTTTAAAAATGGTGATTTTCATAAAAATACTGTGTTCTAAAGTTATGGCGTGAAAACCAAGTGAACAAGGTAATATGCTAATTGGCACAGGCTTACCTCGACTTGCTCTGTGTATCTTGAAGGTACAAGATGTCACAACGAAGGGCGTGTATCGACTCCCGCATGCTATATATCTACTACTGTAGCTTGCCCGTGTCCGACTCTCCGTCAGCTACTATCCAGCAGGAGACCACGAGAAAACGCATAGCCCATTAGCGATGTCGCGCATGCGCAGTTCGCCGAGGGTTTGCACTTTAGTGCTTTTGATTATAGGAATGAATGACGTTCTGTCTATAGGTGTGCATCTCTCCTATTTCCCTGATTTCCTTGAGGTGATATCCCTACATCCCCCCTTCAAACAATTTCTCCACTTGTTTTCACTCATTTTTCTCCTGGGTTTTAAGCAACCTCCAGTTAAGAGCGATATTAACAGGTTCAGTGCTACACTGGCTTGATTTTAATTTAAAAAGGTGATTTTCATAAAAATTAATACTGCGTTCTAAAGTTATGGCGTGAAAACCAGGTGAACAAGCTAATATTACCTCGACCTTGTCATTGAAGGCACAGGAAGTCACAACGAAGGTCATGTATGGATTCCCGCATGCTATCTACTACTGTAGCTCGCCCATGTCAGACTCTACGCAAGCTACTAACGAGACCAACCACTCCATCAATTAGGGGTACTCCGCATGGGCAGTTCGCCAAGGGTTTTTAAAAATGTGTGTGTCTGTCTGTGAGTGTCCGTCTGTCTGTCTGTGTCTGTCTGTCTGTCAGCAGCTATTCTCGCACGGAGCGGCCCATGAACGATACCAACGTCTTCAGAACAACGCGCGCGAACCTGAAAAAATGGCGATGTTCCTGAAACGACTGCGTTCGAAAGATACGCCGTAAGAACAACCGAAAAAGCCAAGAAGTATGTATAATCGCACCAGCTTACCTCGACCGATCTGCTTGCTCGGAGGTAAATAAGTCACCACAAAGGCCGTCTATCGACTCCCGCATGCTATCTAATTCTTATAGTGTAGTACTCTCCGCGACCAACTAGCGTGGAGCGCGAATAAAAGCACACACATAGCCCAGCCCATCATTAACCTTCGGCGCGCATGCGCAGCGATGGTTACAGTACTTGGGTCTGTGTGTCTGTGTGTCTGTCTGTCTGTTACTCGTCATCTCACTTCTCGAGTGTTCGTTCGTCTCACAAACGATACCACCTACTGAACGGGCAATGAAGGTCAGAACTTTCGAACGGTTTTCCCTGAAAACGCTCCGTTGCGAAGCTAGAGCGCGAAAAAGCCAATATGCAAATACACAACGGACTGGATGGCTTACCAAAGTCGGATCGATCCGCGTGCTTTGCGTACCTCGGAGGCACCAGAAGCATACTTGCCAACCGTTCCACATTCCGCGGGACTGTCCCGCAAAAAACAGTGGCGTCCCGCTGTCCCGCAGCAGAGCCTTATTGTCCCGCGTCCGTATGGCACGCGATCCGTAACAATAATCCCCAAGGTATTACCTGTAGGTAATATATAATGTTTAGGGTTTTTGTTACGGTGTGTGCCATACGGCCCCGCGTCACTGCATGCGGGCGCAGGGAGTTTCTATATAGCTAGCTGCGCATGCGTACGATGTGGAGAGACTTGACCTTTGTCCTTTTGCTATTAGCAGCGATAATGTTAGGGAAACTGGGGAAAGGGAGCAACACAAAGAAGTCTACAAACAAGAGAAGATGCAAAACAGTCCTAATTTTAAGTGTGTGCATATTAAATAATTGATGTAGTGTTTCTGTCCTGCAATTTTTCTTCATGTCCTGCATTTCTGAACAAAGTGTCCAGTAAAATGAATTTACATGGTTGGCAAGTATGCAGAAGATGCAACGCAGGGCGTGTATCGCCTCTCCCATGCTATCTAGTAGTGTAGTTAGCCCGCGTCAGACTCTGCGCGAGCTGGCAAGAGACCGCGAGTAACAGCTAAAACTAAACCCAGCCCACCAATTAGTGGTACGGCGCATGCGTTTACTTACGCGTGCGCGTCACAGTGCGCCGAGGGTTTGCACTTCAGTGCTTTTCATTTATTTGGTACCGCGCATGCGTAATGCGCCGAGGGTTTGCACTTGTGCACAGTGCTTTTCAGTAGTAAAAAATATTTTTATGTTACCTTCTGTGACACAGGAACTGCAATGAAAGGTCAAGTTCAGTCATGTAAGGACAATGAGTTTATAGTGTAGATAGGCTTCAGTGTGTTTCCATGTTGGATATTATTATTATATACAACCGAGGGGTATTTTGCGAAAGTGTTCATTCCTGAGGTAATTAGGAAGATTCTGCTAGCTATCCAAAGTATTTTGGCTTGTTTATTTAATCACATTTCCATTGCTGTGCATACTCGTGCAATGGGTATATGATAGGTGTGTATGTTAATCGCTATACGTTGCAGTTTTGGAGAAAATTTCATTTGTGTGGAATTTTACTTTCCTCCTTCTGCTGCGTTTACTCTCTGAAGTGTCGGCGCCAGAAAAGAAGGTGTGTATGTATACATACTCATATGTAGTTTACTCAACCTCTCTTTCCTTAGGTTCTTTTGGGAGAGAAGCTTATATGGACTGCTGTCATACTTTTCATTTACCAATGGTGTTCTCATGTAAGGCCTTATTTCTTATTATCACTGCCCTATTCTCTGTGCTCTCCTGTGTAAATTGTGATTACAGTGTTTCACTCGAATCATAATCCTTCTTATAATCCCTGTTAAACAAAAATATATCCTTCATGGCATGTTCCTTACTCAAACTGTGCATTTTGTAGATACCACTGCTTGGGATAATGTCATCAAATAGTGCTGACCCATATTACTGGCATCGAACAGTGAATGCTTCCAGTCAAGGCACTCTGATGGAGTTGGGAGTATCTCCAATCGCTACCTATTATTTACTGGGTTATTTTAATATAATGGAAAGGAAACCCCACAAAAAGTGTAAGGAGTATAGTTTAAGGTATATAGCTGTCCTCCTTATTCTCTGCATCATTGACAGTGCTGTGTATGGTGGTTACACTTTGCCAGTCCGTTTATTGCTTGATGTCTGGAATGTACGGAACTCCCTCTGAACTGGGGATTTTTACCTCTCTAATCATCATCCTGCAAGTAAGTACAATGTGTTGATGTATATATATATAGCAGTCAGTGACAATACTGGTCTCCTTAGTTGTGTGGAGCTGGACTGATGGTGATGATGTTGAATGAGCTACTAGAGAAGTATGGTATGGGTTCCTCTGATATCTTTATTGTCACCAACATCTGTGGGACTGTATTTTGGAAGGCCTTCAGTCCTGTCACTATCAACACTGGTAAGCACTTGTGACTTGTGACTTGTTATTGTGACAGGTAAAAAATTATTTCAAGTCGAGTATAAGTATGATTCAGAGGATAAACGAGGGATGGTTATACAGCAAAGCCATGCACAACTACAAAGTACATGCCAAAACTCCCTATCACAGCCCCATACATCTATACAGTGGAACCTCCGATAATGGACACTCTGAAGGGAGGACAACCGCCCTACAATGGACAAACTGCCTGCCCCCTGCCGATAACCATACTCAATACATTTTTACCTCCGAGACAAGGACAAAACCTCTGAATAATGGACAAACCTGACTATCATGTGTAGCTACTTCCAATAATGCACAAACCGAAGCCTTGCCCTCTAAACGCTATTCTCACCAGCCAGTATAGTCAGCTAAGTATTTTTTATGAGTTCCAGGGAGGCTATATTACTAGTGGAAATGTTGATCATTGTTGGCGAGCGGGAGTGGCCCAACTTGGGATTTGCCCGCGATGTTCGCTTCGGGCTGCATAACGTGCCGTCAGCGCACTCCTTTCGTGAAGCAAGACAGATCTACCTGTCGCCGTTACATACGTACTGTATACTGTCTGAACGGTGAGCAGGTGAGCAGAACGGTACTTACCTTATGCTTTCAGCTCTTCAGTCGTGGTCCACGCATGCAGCAGTATCTGCACGAGCAATCCTAGCTTGTTGCACCCCCAAGTCGAACCATGAAGATTGGAAGAGTATAATTACATGTCTCGGTATAGTAAACACCGAGAGATGCATAGAATGCGCGTTCGAATGGATTAGGAGAGTTCTCCTTCGGCAGGCTAGAATCGCACACCGAGACTATATAGATCCATCGCTCATATCGCGAGCAGCGTGCAGATTTAAGCGCGCGGTACGAAGCCCGCGCATTTGCGCACTTACACGACGTACGTAACGGCCGAGCAAATCCGCATAGGAAGGACTAGGTGGGCTCGCTTCTTCTGCTCGCCAATACTAATTGACACTTGGTTTCTCTCGCAGCCAGTGTATGGCAGAGTTTAATACTCTCTCTTCTTAGCACACTTCCTTGATATTGTCGAGGTTAAATTGTCAGATAGTGTGTTAGCTACCTATCAGTAGTCACTCATACATGCATCTGCAGATGGAGGCAGGGATTTTGAAGAGTGATCAGTGCATTTTTTACACATGCTGGCTTCTTCCTCACTCTGACAAATTTTCAGCTCTTACAAAGTACTATCCGACACAATCTACCAAATCTGCTAAACCTGACTGCAACGGTTTAGTGGTTTGCTACGGCAGATATCCCTCCAGGTAAAGGTATTTAGATATATAAGTATAGGACAAGAACTTTTGTGTGGTGCTGCAGGGTTTTCGAGTTGAGCTACCCATCAAGAGTGCCCGCTACCGTGGCCAATGCAGCAAATATTCCATTAAGCTTCTCTATACAGGCATCACACCTGTAATCATTCACCGTGTTTTGGTTCTCTACCTCTACCAAGCATCACAGGTTATCCCAAAGTAGTACGATTGTCAGTACACAAAGTAATCCATTTTTTACAGATTTTTTACCTTATATTTGGAGGCAATCTGCTGGTTGACTTGCTGGGAGTGTGGTCTACAGTAGAGGATACCCAGCCCTCTAGATTGTTTTTTCTGGAGTACAGAAGTGGATATTACCCTTCTAGCGGTCTCTGCTACTACCTTAGCGCATATAGGGATGCCAACCCTGGCAGTAGTTATTATTGCTGTGCCCCATACGTGCCATATTTATGCACGTTTATGCGCTGTACCATGTGCTTTCCTCTCAGAATATCGCTTAAAGGTCTGTAACCTCTGCTGATATGTACGTTCATATTTGACATGTCCTTTGTGTGTGGGTGTCACAATCATATATATGCAGGTAGCCAAGCAGGTGATGGACAAGCAAATATGTGCTGCGAGGGTCATCAAAACCTGCACAAATCTCTCAATCAATACATTCCTACGGCTGCTACACTCGGTGGTCTGTGTATTGGAGCTCTCTGTGTTTTTGCTGATCATTTTGGTAAGGACTCAGACCACCGTCAAACTGTTTGTCTTGCAAAAACTAGCTACAAATTTTATATTGTCACAGGAGTGCTTTTGGACTCCGGTGCCAACCGTTATAATAACCATCACATCAGATACACAGTTATGAACCAAATTGTGAAAGAACAGTCAGGACAGAGTCATAATTATACTAGACTATTATTTCGTACTAAGGCTATATATACGGTTATCACTTATAATTATATCTGATAAGCTTTTATTAATATATCAAACATTTGTCTGTAATAATAGATATCTTGTCATAATTAGTATGCTATATACACTAACAGGTTATATTGTAGTTATCAGGAGAGTGTGTGTAGAGGTGGAGGGTCGGGGCGGGCGAGACGGAGCGAGACGAGTTGTGTAGCTAGCTATTTGTGTTGCGGTGGGCTCCATGCCTACAACAGTGTTTACTGTGCTGCAGAATCAGAGAGTCGGTAGACCTTCCATATAGGGAGGACCGGGTGAAATCCTCACGTGACCGCGCGTACACAACGACTAAAACTCAGTGAGAATCACCTCAAAACATACTAC